CCTGAAATTTCAAAGTCTCTGCATTTTGACCAATATAATACACCTAAAGTCTATCTCCAGGCTCTATATGCACACACAGAGCAACACAAACACATTATACCTGCAAAACCTACCAACAAACTTATTCTTCTCTACTCACAAAAACTCTGTTCTCTTTAACCAATTCTTCACCTTTCCCACTCACGACAGGTTCTATTTTTAACTTTTAGAACAGTGATCCTTACCCTTCCTAATGCTGTGACCCTTTACTATAGTTCCTCATGTTGTGGTGACCCCCAACCATAAGATTTTGGTTGTTACTTCATAAGTGTAATTTGCTACAATTATGAATCATAATATAAATATCTGGTTTGCAGGATATTTTATATGTGACCCTTGTGAAAAGGGTCCTTCAACCTCCTGCAAAGGTGACACAACCTACAGATTGAGAACTGCTGTTTTAGAAAACTATAAACTGATGGATATAGCAAATAATTTGAGCCAACTATATTATAATATCACATTATTTCTCATAAATTATTACAAAAATGTGAATATGCCATTTTCATTCCATGAGCACATTCACAGATGTATAATATTTGGAGAAAAATACTGACCCTGTCCTGAATATGTATGGACTTTCTTTGCCATTATTCCCTGAACAGTATAGCCTAACAACTATTTCCATAGCACTTACATCATACCAGGTATTATAAGCAATCTAGAGATGAGTTAAAGTGAAGCATGGGGATAGGTTGTGTGGTGTTTATATAAGAGAGTTGAGCATCTGTAGATCTTGAACCAAGCTTCTGGAACCAGCCCTCCATTGATAGTGAGGGGCAACGGCAACTGTTCTGTTATTTGAATAGTTATTCACGACTTTAAATAGATCTGTGCTGAACTTCATAGGTAGTATTTTCAGCCATTCCCTGTAGAAATCTTGGCGTGGTAGCACACATTTGTAGTTTCTCACTGCACCTGAAGGTTGCCCTTTTGTCTAGTATGGCTGTTCAGCTTCCTCCATGGGTTCACTGGCTCTGCCTCTTGGTTATATATATTCCCCGCAGCCAAGCAGCTTTTTACCTATCCTCTGGAGATCTGTTCCTCATGCTTGCAGAGCATCTTCCTAACCCTGATTTCCTGAATGTTTAATATAAAGGATTCACCAATGATTATTCCAAATATGGGAGATTTTGGGTAGAGAAAAGGAAGGGAAGGAAAATTTTTATTGAAAGAACCAGTGGGAAATGTATATGCATAAACCATACTCAAGAAAACAGAAAGTTCCTTGTGCTCTGTAACTGCAAGAAAAATAAACATTTTGCATCCAGGTGTTAGAAGAGTTTGCCTGGCCAGTCTATAGCTTGATTCAGAACGGTATGTTCCATAGTTGAGCCCTGATTAATTAACCAATGAATCTCAGTTCACCACAGAGGAAAAATGCAATCAAGGTCAAATGGGGCTCCTGTAATACATACTCTAAAACCCCTTTTCTAAGCCCACCTGCCAGAAGCTGAAGAGTAGCCACAAGGCGAGCACTTCTGTCTCTGTATTTCTCTCCTCCTGGGTCCCCATCTGCCCCTCAGCACCAATGATTTCTGGAGAGTTTAGCTGGGACTCTGTTCACATCCCACATCTCCTGGGCTGCTGTGTACAGTTGCAACTAGAACTGGAAATGCACCTTCCGTAGTCTCCCACTTCCATTCTCGGCCCTTCAGGTGCCTTCAGCTCTCGTACCCCAAGTCTTCTCCGTCCCTCCTCTACATCCTGTGCTTCCAGCCCATCTCAGTTGGGTGTTAGGAAAACCAGCTCATGTGACAAATGCACACTATGTGGTGAATGACTTATAACCATTCCCCAGCACAAATGAGAGCAGCATAGATGCCCATACACACCCTTCTCCCGGACAGACAGCTGGGGAAAGGAGGCAGCTGTATTTTTGATGATGTGTTTTCAGAAAAAAGGAACCAGTCTTAAAGTACAACACTGAGGTTCTGAGCTCTGATTTAGCAAGCTCATTATTAAGTACATTCTGCTCTCCTCCTGATCTCTAGCTATGGCACCTCGAGCATGGTTTACACTGACTTTCATTAAAGTTTTTCTTTTTCTGAGTCCAGAGGTATGTGGTCATGTACATAAGCATCTTCATTTATTGCTTCTGTTACACGGCAATCTGTTGCTGGCTCTATGAAAACTGGAGGAAACGGGTTCTATCTTGTCCAAGTTTGGAGATTTATGTTAAGTGATTGCTGAAACAGTGGTGTCACCAAACCCTCTCTTTCAGACTGAATCAGAGCAGTAGAACTCGAAAAGTGGGTATGAAGCAAGAAGATAGTCTGAAATGATTGCCCAGGGACCAATTGGTTTGTTTCTTGGAGAATGTAGGCATTTGGTAACTTTATTTGGATTATTCATGAGAAAAGGGGAGGGGGTGTATTACACAAAGGATGCTTGGGAGGGAGAGGAAATGGATAGCTTAACTCCTGGGCCAGAAACAGCCTTCAACTGGAGGCTCAGTTTGGGGATTGAGAACAAAAATGGGATGAAAGAATTGTTTCCTTGGCCAATTCCAAAATCTACTTAATGAGAAGGGTTTTGTTCAGGACAGATGGCCCCAGGTGGTGAGATCATGTTAAAGAAAGAAATTAAAGGGAGAGGAGAAAGAAGAAAGAAAGGAAAGAAGAAATTGGAGAGAGAAAGCTATTCTAAAGCATTGTTAGGACAGGGTAGTTTCTTTAGCCACAGACAAAGTTACAATGCTGGAGTGATTTTCTCTCTGTCTCTGCCTCCCTGTCTCTCTCTCTCTCTCTCTCTCTCTCTCTCTCTCTCTCTCTCTGTGTGTGTGTGTGTGTGTGTGTGTGTGTGTGTGCTGCATCTCTCTTCTCACTTTGTGAGAAAAAAAAATCAGTCAGGCCCAGGAGTGATGCTGCAGAATAAAGAAGGAGTACAGATGAGTCTCTTTTGGCTTCTTTTTATACCGCCACTGGTACAGAGAGAGTGAACAGTCATTAAGAAGGGAGGAAAGATAGTTCGAGCAAGCTGTACTTATCAGAAACAAAGCATTCCACCCAGGCCAGTTCATTCTAGTGGGTCTCTACACCATACTTTCCATTCAAAAACTCTGCGAATCTTTCAAGAGCAAAGGCCAAGAAAAGTTTCCTGTTTACAGATGGGAAAAGGGAATGTTTGGGGGGAGCTTTTTAGACTGATGCTGTGAACATAGTAGGCACTCAATAAATATTATTCAAAGGGTGAAATCATCTAATGGGAATACTTAGGAGGGGGGAAAAAAGTAATCCCTACTCTTACACACATGCATTGCCTTCCAAGTTTTAGCCGTTTGATTTATGTGATTTTCCATGTTTAAAGTGAAAGCCGAATTGGACACTATTTGATGATGTCCTCCCTCCTTCCCTTGTTGCCTCCCTCTGCTGCCATGTTTTACACACTTATTCTTAGCTTTATTTTTTTCTCTCCCTGCCACTCTTTCAAAGGCAAAGGCAAAAAGAACCCAAAAGCTAGCAAGCACAAAAGAATCTAGGCAAAGGTTTTAGGAGCTAGTTGGTCAATCTATACACAAAGCATAAACAAAGCACTTCCTTTTTAAGATAGGACTTCTTTAAGTAGTTATATACAATGTGCATTTAAAATGTAAAATGAATACTAGTGCAATCAGGATTTTGGGGTTTTTTATTTGTTTTGTTTTTTATTTTTGTTTTTGTTTTGTTTTTGAGACAAGGTCTTACTCTGCAGCCAAGGCTGGCCTATAACTTACTATGTTGCATAAGCTGGCCTTAAATTTGTGGCAGTCCTCCTATGTCTACCTCAGAAGCGTTGGGATTTCAGTGTAAGCCACTACTCCAAGCTCAGAATGTTACCATTATTTGCTTTTGGTTTTATTTTTCTGTTTTGATGAAGTCTCACTATGTAGCTCTGGCTGTTTTTTGTTTTTGTTTTTTGTTTTTTGTTTTCTCCTTTCATTCTTTCTTTCTGAAATATCTCTGATTTTCTTTCTTTTGGAAATTTCTCTGATTTATAACATGCCCTGATGTATCAGATAATTTTTTGGTTATCATGAGTTACAATGTTACTGATGGACTTCCTGACGAATTCATTTAGTTAAGCCATGTTGTCAGGGGAAAATGCAATTTCTCCTTAGTGCTTTTTTTTTTTTTTAACTTGCCATATTTCATTTTGGGAAAATGTGTACTTACCTTGTTCTATTTCATTGTGGGAGGTGAGTGTAAGAAGGGCAGAGGGCAAAGGACAACTTTCAGGGATCTTTCCTTCCATCATGTAAGTTCCGGGAATTGAACTCAGATAATCAGGCTTACCTAATGAAACAGTCATCAGACTTCTTTTTATGTTTTAAAATTCAATTTTTCTGCTAAGAAAGAAGTTCATATGGAAGGGCTCATTGGGATATATATATGTATTAGGAAATATTAAAGCAGGCTAGGTTAATAGCTTGAATTAAACATGCCGTGATTTAGTGTTTAATGAGGAAACTGTTTTGTTTGGGTTTCATGCTGGCCTTACACAAAATGGGGTAACAATCCTAATCGGTGCAGATTCTCATTCTACACATGACACAGCAATGCATGTTTTATACCAAGACAGTATGAGAAAGCCACTTAAAGAAGCCTTGTGTCACCATTCCAGGCCCATGTTGCTCAGAGGAAGAGCACTTGCCTAGCATATGAGAGGGCCTGGATTTCATCCAAAGCACAACCAAATAGATAGATAGATAGATAGATAGATAGATAGATAGATAGATAGATAGATAGATAAATAATTAAATAAAATCCTTAGAAGCCATGCTGGTTATCTTTAACATGCAAGTTCCTGCAATGATAAAATTAACATTCACTTCTGCCTCACATGGAAAGTTCCCTCTTCTCATACTTGAACCTTTTTTAAGACATAAGGTAACATGCCTCTGGTGTTTCTTTGTGCTCTAGAATTCCTTTCTGGACGCCTTCCTACCTCCTGGGAGTTATTAACCCAACCTGCTTTCAAGAATGAACCTCACCAAGATTCTCGGAGGAATGTTCTTCTTCACTTTGGTGCTTTCCAGCTATTCTGAGCAAAACCAAGTGAATGTCCTGTGCTCAACAGATTGGTTCATGGTCACCGTTCACCCCTTCTTGCTGAATAATGACGTCTATGTACACTTTCATGAGGTGCACTTGGGTCTAGGGTGTCCTCCCAACCACGTTCATCCACACTTCTACCAGTTCACCTACCGCGTTACCGAATGTGGCATCCGCATCAAGGCTGTCTCTCCAGATGTCGTTATCTACAGCTCTGAGATTCACTATGCGTCCAAAAGTTCGTCATCTAGATATGTGATCCCTGTGTCGTGTGCTGCTCCTCGACGGTCCCCTTGGCTCACTAAGCCCTACTCCGTGAAATCAGACAGTGAGAACATGGCCAAGACCCAGAAGGATGCCGGGACCCAGAAGAATGGGACCAGCTACCCGATCTTCAGCTTGCCAGAGCCTAGCCAACAGTCTAACTCCAGCTGCCCATCTTATGCCTTCAAGCAAGAGAGCATGTAAACCCCACATCATGAGGCAGAGTTTTGGAGGCCCATCTTGTGTAGTCATCTGACTTCACTAATATTTCTGGGAACTAGTGTGTCCACTCAGATGATCTGAGGAAACCCATGTAGTGCCTAGATTTCAGGGCTTCTTGAAAATTCTGTTTCTAGAATTAGTATGTAGCATTTTCCACTGTCAGTCAAATAAGTGCCATTACAGCTCTTTTAGGAGAAAATTGTGAAGGGCAAATTCTTATATAGCTGATTGTAAGCCCCCCTCCCTTTTTTTTTTTTTTTTTTTACTATTTTTGTATCTTTTAAAATTCTGATTGGCATAAATAGCTGATTGTAACTCTTTTTTGTTTTTTACCATTTTTGTATCTTTTAAAAAATAATAAAATTCTGCTTGGCATTAAAGTATCAGTTGGATGGTTTTGCTTCATAAACATATATCTCATTTTGTCTACGAACAAGGAGTTAGTTTAAGTGGTTTGCCACCATTGACTTCTGGGTTCTTCTCTCTAGGATGATTTCCCACCCCTTCAAGGTTCCTCTACAAAGCCTTTCCCAGGAGAATCTCTTCCTCTATATCCCCACTTCCCGTCTTCATCTTCTGTTTATCACCAAGTCTTAGCTTAGCACTAAGTCTTTCTCGTTTGATCTCCAGCTATAACCCTTTTTATGGACAGAAAGGATAAGCCAGTTATCTTCAAGTCTCCAGTGATTCTGGGAAGCAGACAAGTCACGTTCCAATGCTCCCATGCTAGGTTCCCAAGGCTGAGCTGGACCATAAGCTTTGAAGACTGATAAAAAGCCCTCTTGCCCCCAACATATAAACTGTCAAAAACGAGCCCCAAAGTGTGGCTGTCCACTAGCTTTCTCAAGGGCTTGGAGCAACAAGAGGAAGTGAATAACTCCACAACTATTTATTATGCAGCGAAACTACTGCAGACCTGGCTCTGGACCCCAAGGAATGGTAGTGAGAAGAAAAGGACTCAAAGAAATCGAGGTCACATAGCTAGTAAGCACATAAGTAAATAGAGATAAATTCAGATAGATAGTGAAACATGCTGTGAAGAACTTCAAACAAAATGACATGGGAAACTGGGGAGGGACCAGGCTTCTGTGATCTTGCCATTTGAACTATGTCTTGGGCATGAAGATGGAGAGAAAATATTCCAGATAGTAGAAGCATCTCCTTTAACTCTTACTACCACCCTATAAAAGAAGTGTGCTTGTCACGTAGAATTAGAAAACTAAACTTCACAGAGGCAGTAGTAGTGCAACAAGTTCAGACAAATATGATCTACATAGTGACACTCTGTCTCAAAACACACACACAGGGGAAAAGGGAAATTGAGGCACGGGATGATTAAGAAAGTAGCAGTTTGAGGCCATATACCTCAAAGTAACAAGCAGACTCTTCAAAAATCATGTTGTATATCACAAACATAAAATTCTTATTTGTCAATAAAAAAAATAGTTAAAAAAGAAAGTGATGCTTGGGATAGATGGCTCACTGGTTAAAAACATTTACTGCTCTTCCAGAAGGACCCAAATTCAGTTTCCGGCACCCACATCAGACAACAACCATTCTATTACTTGTTCTCCAGGAAATCCAAAGCCTCTGGCCTCTGTTGGCACCTGCACACACATGCCCCACCCATATGCACACGTCTATACATAATTAAACATAATACAAACAAATATTTCACTAAAAATAAGAGTGCAATGTTTTAGCACAATTTTCTCATTTATAAAGGTGAAGTGCTTTAGCAGATGAATAAATCTTTGAAAGACAACCATCAAGAGAACAAATTCAACTATGGTAGTTAAAGAAACAGATTCATCTCAGTATTTTTTGCCCTTTTTGATAAAATGCCAGGTAACAATCCCTGGAAGCAGGGTATGAATGCAACAAATATCTATTACAATTATCCGATATGTCAGTCACTACATTAGCTATTGGAAATTCAGTGACTGACAAAACTGACACAGTCTGGTTGGTTTTGTAAGCCCTGTAAAGACACCTACAGGGTTAGAGACTGTAAAAGTTGTTCAAGTCAATAGAATGGGTTTGCACAAAGGTATGAGGACAAGAGTTGAGAAAATGCCATTTGTCAATTCCAACACAGTGAATAGGGCAAAAGGGAAGATGATGGTGGGAAACTATGAAAAGGGTAAGAAAGACATCAAAGTTGACAGGAATGACCACAGAATGATATGTGAGAAGATTGGAAGGGAAGACAGATCAGTTCCAGTCACCGGGGCAAGAGATCAACTAAGATGGGTTAGGCCTACAATTCATGAAATCGAGACAATTGAGGAGAATCTTATCCGAAAGTTAGTTTCATTCAGTTAAGATGAAGGAGAAGGGCATTCTAGGCAAACAGAATGGCAAAAAGAAACATGCAAAGAGAACTGACTCTTCCTTTCCCAGCAGGTTATCAACTGCTAATAGCACCTCAGGTAGAGGTGGGACTTGGTGAGGCCCTCCGCACTCGTGTTGGAATTTTAGCTGGCTGGATCACGTGTGAGTCTTATGCATCCAGCTACAGCTGCTGTAAGTTATGTGAAACAGCTCCCATGCTCCAGTGGATGGCCCTACCCATGCACATACTGGCATCACTAAATGGATTCATGGATTAAAAATGAGAATATATGAAGTTGGAAGTAAAAAATGATGAGGAAGTAGAGGAGACATTGGAAGGAGCCAGGAGGAGTAGATTTGATTAAGAAAAAAAAAACTTATTGTATAAATGCATGAAGTTCTCAAGCAATAAAAGAAAAATGTGTACAAAGAAATGCTGATCAATAATCATATTTTTACATAACTTGACATCCCAGTATAATTAAGCAATGTTTTTAATCAGTAATAGAAACTGAGATGAGGCTATCTTAACTGTTGAGTCATGTCTCCAGGCCTTAAACCCTGAATTTTTTGTTGAGTAATTTAATTACCTTATGATACAAGACTCCAAAAGAATGTTTTTCTTCTTTATTGTGGTAATGCTCAGTTAATTTTTAAGGTGACATGATTTATAAAACTCCGTAACATAGTGTTCAGCATGTTTGTAATAATAAGAAGAAATACTTTGTTGCCATCAAAGGAAATGAGCGTGTTCACCTTTCAATTTCTAGAAACGCCAAAAATGTCGGCATCATTTGTTAGGATAATTGCTTGTCAGATATTTAAAAATTAGAGCTGTAATGAGATGTTTCACCCATAAAAGGAGACTCAGTGTGATGTCCAATTGTTTGTTCTTTGGCTGAGGATGCAGCTCACTAAAGACCCTGGCTTCACTCTCCCCAAACTATGAAAAATAATCTTTCCACAGTCCAAAAACAGTAAACCATATTTTTCGTTGTGTAAAGTACACACATACACACATAAACTTATATGTGTGTGTGTATGCTAAGGACAAATATTAATTTTAATATATAAGCTCTTTTTAATTCATTTTTATTTAGTGTGTGTGTGTGTGTGTGTATACATGCGTGCCACAGCACACATATGAAGGTCAGAAGGCAATGTTGTGATGTCAATCTTTCCTTCTCTTTCTACCTGTGGATTCTGGAGATTATAATGAAGTCCTTGGGCTTGCTAGCAAGTGCCTTTACCCTCTGAACCATGTCATTGAACCTCTAGGCTCATGGGTTACATTTTTGAGGTGTATATAAAAACTCCTGTTCCTCTCTCCCTCCACTAATAATCAAAGTCTGACCAAACATTAACTCAAACTGTTCTACTGGTCCACAATACACCCCCCTACACACATTTATTTAAATAGTATATTATCAAAAGAGGAATATTTATTATAAGATGAAAGCTAAATTTCACAAAACGCCTGTTGCTTTTAATTAGTGTTAATTTCTATGTGGAGAATGTCATACAATCTCCTGTGGAAACTATCTTATAGTCATTTATTCCCAAAGAGAGAGGGAGAGTAGAGAAAGAGAGTTTCAGTTCTGTTATTTTCTGTGACTTTCTCAACAAATCAGGTCAAATTTTAGCTTCTAAACTCACTTTGGCTATACTATTGCAAAAACTGTTGTATTAGTGAACTTATTGCTGAAAAAGAAGTTACCCCAGACAACAAACCCTTATTATCTCCCTGGTTGTGTGAGTCAGGCACCTGGGTAGGACTTAGCCTGGTACCTCAGCTCAGGGTTCCCAGAGGCAAGCTGTAGGAGATATATGCGGCCATCTCAACCCTTCCCCAGAGCAGCAGACTCTGTCTCTGAGTTCACTTAAGTGTTTGCTGACAGGAGACCTTCAGCCCTGCCCTGATGCCTTATCCACAAACTGCCCACACATTCTCAGGTGTCCTCACACAGCAGTTCATGAAAAGAGAGAAGCGAAGGAAAGAGGAAGAGAAGGCAGAGAGCCGTGTTAGAATTCACTTTCTAATCTCAGAGCATCCATCATTTCTGCCATATTCTATCTGAAGAGCCACTAGATCGGCAGTTCTCAGCCTGTGGGTAGTGACCCTCAAAAACCATGGGAAATCACGGATATTTACATTGCAATTCATAACAGTAGCAATATTGCAGTTATGAAGTAGCAATAAAAATAACTTTATGGTTGAGGGGTCACCCTAACATGAGGAACTGTAGTAGAGGGTTAAAGGGTCACAGCATCAGGAAGGTTGAGAACCACTGCTGCAGACCCTATTCACACTCCGTGACTGGGGCTATAGAAGGTGGGGGCTACTGGGAACCATCATACAGGCTGTTCCCATACCCTCAATCTGATTACGTGGGCAAAGTCCACAAATATAATATTCTTCTATTGATTCTTGTATTTATGCAAACACAGAATTCTTCAATTTATTCACATAAATGTATATGTCAAGAAATTGACTGGGTGAAAAACACATGCTCTTTTGCTGCTGTATCTTTGCATTGGTTGATTATGTTTTCCTTCTTCAGAGGGTAGGGAGGAATAATTCCTACAAGCCATAAAAGTCACAAGATTGACTGAGGATTGGTAAAAACATTCCCCAAGAAGCCTCTATT